GTTGCGATATTTTGTGATTTAATACCCGAACCGATTTAAATTTACTCCGGTCCAATAGATGACCAATTCATTAAAACAAATTAGCCCCAAACCAAAACCTTAACCTACCAACAAAATTAAAATCAAGAGGGGACTAAATTATGAATAGTGTCTCCGATTTGCCCATCTCGCCACGGTGACCCACCGCCGACCGGCTTCTCTGCCACTGAATAGCCAACTCGGACGAGTGTTCGAACAAGGCTGTGGTGTATGTAAATGAGTGAAGTTTTGCGTAGAGCCAAACACGCACTAAGCGTGAAACAGTACCAATCTCTCTTGAATCAGTATGCAGCTACTCAATCAATCGCCAAAACCAAGGCTTTACACTGCCATGTCATCACCGGCGGTCGAATTTCCGATCACATTGTGTCGACTCTCTCCGTTACATATGCTTTATGTAGTCACATCCCTTATGCACAGAAGCTGTTCGAGGAAATGCCTCAAAGCTCTTTGCTTTCGTATAACATTGTTATTAGAATGTACGTGCGTGATGGTTTGTATAACGATGCTATTAACATGTTTAGTAGGATGGTTAGTGAGGGGATTCAGTGTTGTCCGGATGGTTATACATACCCTTTTGTTGCAAAAGCTGCTGGAGAGTTAAAGTCGGTAAATTTAGGGTTTGTTATTCATGGGAGGATCTTGAGGAGCTTGTTTGGTACGGATAAGTATGTGCAGAACGCGTTGCTGGCCATGTATATGAACTTTGGGAGGATTGAAATGGCGAGGAAAGTGTTTGATGTTATGAAGAACCGAGATGTGATTTCGTGGAACACGATGATTAGTGGGTATTATAAGAATGGATATATGAATGATGCTTTGATGATGTTTGATTGGATGGTAGATGAGGGTGTTGATCTTGACCACGCTACAATTGTTTCTATATTGCCTGTTTGTGGTCATTTGAAGGATTTGGAAATGGGAAGAAATGTTCATAAATTAGTCGATGAGAAGCGGTTAGGGGATAACATAAAGGTGAAGAATGCGTTGGTGAATATGTATTTGAAATGTGGTCGCATGGACGAGGCGAGATTTGTCTTTGACAGGATGGAAAGCAGAGATGTGATCGCATGGACTTCTATGATTAACGGATATACAGAAGATGGTGATGTGAAAAGCGCTTTGGAGTTGTGTAGATTGATGCAGGTTGAAGGCGTAAGACCTAATGATGTGACTATAGCCTCTCTTGTTTCAGCATGTGGTGCTGCTTTGGATCTGAATGATGGTAAATGTTTACATGGTTGGGCAATAAGGCTAAAGGTTTTTTCCCATGTCATCATAGAAACATCTTTGATCAGCATGTATGCTAAATGCAATCGCGTAGACCTCTGTTTCAAAGTCTTTTCAGGGGCTTCAAGAAACCAAACTGGTCCTTGGAGTGCAACTATCGCTGGCTGTGTACAGAATGGACTTGTGAGGGATGCGTTGGATCTCTTTAAACGGATGCGAAAGGAAGATGTAGAACCGAACATTGCTACACTAAACAGTCTCCTTCCAGCATATGCAGTTTTGGCAGATTTGCGCCAAGCGATGAATATCCATTGCTACCTAACCAAAACCGGGTTTATGTCCAGCCTCGATGCTGCTACTGGGCTGGTGCATGTTTACTCAAAGTGTGGAACTTTAGAATCCGCTCACAGGATATTCGATGGGATCCAGAAGAAACACAAGAGCAAGGATGTAGTTCTATGGGGTGCTTTAATTTCTGGGTACGGGATGCACGGTGATGGCCATAATGCGGTGCTAGTTTTCATGGAAATGGTTCGGTCTGGTGTTACGCCAAATGAAATCATATTTACTTCAGCCTTAAACGCTTGCAGTCATTCCGGTCTGGTTGAAGAAGGCTTAACATTATTCAGGTTTATGCTTGAACATTATAAGACAGTAGCTCGATCAAACCACTACACTTGCATTGTTGATCTCCTTGGTCGAGCAGGTCGGTTAGGCGAAGCTTACAATCTCATTACAACAATTCCGTTTGAACNTACCTCAGCCATTTGGGGTGCATTGCTTGCTGCATGTGTCACACACGAGAATGTCGAGCTTGGAGAAGTCGCGGCAAACAAACTCTTTGAGATTGAACCAGAGAACACAGGAAATTACGTATTGCTGGCGAATATCTATGCGGCTTTGGGACGATGGAAAGATATGGAGAAGGTGAGACACATGATGGAGAATGTTGGACTGAGAAAGAAACCGGGTCATAGCACAATCGAGATCCGAAGTATTTCAGGTTGATAAAAGATTAGAGGTAACTAAGAACTCTTATAGGTTTTTGTATTATTATGGGTACTAAATGTTGACAAGATATTCAAAGAAGAGATTCCTCGATTTTTCTTTGGCCAATTGATAATAATTTAGCAGAAATTCAATGTTGCTCATACATATACATGCACTGTAACAACAAATGGTTTTTAGATACACACCAATGGTAATCTGTGAATCTGAAATTGCTTGCTCCCTTGGTCAAACCCTGCACAACTTCAGCTTATGATACACTTCACACCAACTCTTTGCAAAGTGATGATCCCAAAGTCAAGTAACGACAATTTCACCAGAAGAAATAAACAGAGAGGTTACATCAGAACCTCAAACGCAAGATCGAAAACTTGTATAGTCACTGAAACTCGGATGCTCCTTCAGAATCAGACAAAGGTAAGAGTGTACAAACTCCGAGCATATGTCCATTGAGGCAAACATAATACTCAATGCTATCTTCATAAGCGCCCAATCTACAGCTAGCACTATGTGGTATCATTTTCGCCTGAAGCATACTCCACAGCTTTGCTTTGCAATAAGGACAAACTTCTGTGGGATGAAATGATGTCCTTTTCTTAATAAGCAACTTCCTCACTTTCGACATTGAAAACGATTTGAAAATCCCGCGAAAGAAACCCATATCACCATCTTCTCCTTGATCCAAATGTTCACAAGGATCAGAAACATATAAGATATCGTCATTCCGGCATTGTGGAGGAAGGAAACTCCTTCCCGATGTTCTAGAGAAACGGGTTCTGTGAACAAAATGACCCGGGATTTGAACATGGTTAAAGAGTCCACCTTTAGTCGCACCTGAGCAGTAAATCAAAAGTTTCCCAAGTGCTCTCCAACTCCCATCAACACTGTGGCTACCACTAGATTGCAGGTCACACATCATCTTCGGTGCTCTGGCTCTACAAAACTCTTTCCATAGTATACGCTTAGCGAGATCATCAAACCATTTACAGACGCAAGATAGAGTCGCGATTACATTAGGGTTCCAATTTAGATGCTGAGCCATAAGGAACAATACTTCTTCACTTAGATGTCCTTTCGTGCAATGGCAAGTCGCCGAGTGAATGCAACGGTACTGCTTTGCTATTATCATTTTTTTTTTCTCAACCTAGCAAAGAAGCAAATCAAGAAAATCGTTAGTTAAGCCACTCTTTATCCAACATCTGCAATACTACATTATCTTAATTGATGAATTGACCAAATCATGAGCCAAATCAAAGATGCATTCTTTTATATATACACAATCAAAAATTATTCTTGGTCAAACTAAACAAGTAAAAATAGGACCTTTATAGATTCCCACAAACCAAAATCAAAGATCTATACATTCCTCACTACAATTAACGAACCTAGCAACAACTCACCTTAGTTTACACACCAATCTTATCTTGGAGTAGAAATCGAGGAGGATACACGAATATTAGGGTTTTGGTTGAGCAAGAGCAACAAAATTCACTGAAGAAGTAAAAGAAAATAAGAAAAGGGTCAACATTTCAAGTAACAGAGCTAATTCCAACAAAACCCAGATAGAAAATTTTGAGCATGAAGGAGATGATGATGATGAAATGCATGTAAAGAAAAGAAAGGGTCGAGAAGAAGCAAATCTGCATCTTTCCTAATTTTTGTGTGTTTCTTCTGATTTGTTTTCTATGTAAGTGGGAAAATTATGTTTGTCTGCGACTAGAGAGAGTAATTGTAAGATGCGGTGAGGTGTACGGTATGGCTAATCCGTTTGATTGGATAATGGAACTAATCTCGCTTCAAATAAGAGTTTAGTTGGTGTGTTAAAATGATCAACTTGGGTATTTTTCGTTTATATCTATCTCAATTTGATGGGTCACGAAATGATTTTGGAAACTAAACCAACAAATAAAAAGTGACTAATCTTTGCGGCGAAATTTGATGAGTTTAAAATGTGAAA